AAATTAACACACATTGATATCATTCTGTTCCCTTCATGCACATCAATCAGTCATTATTTCTATCTGGCATGCAAGGTAGATACTCTGCACACACAACTTGTTCATTATGTCCAAGGACAGGGCGTGTGAAGTGGGTGGAGGCAGCAAGGAACAGGTTGTCCCTGCAGCATCAAGAGCCTCCTGACTGGGGCATATGCATTTCTTTATTTAATTAAAGTATCCTTACTCTTCTTTTTGGCTAAAAAACAAGGCTACCAGGGCAATTTACCATGATCAGTAATAAGGCAGTACCTGCCCTTGGACTTGCAGCCTACAGCCACAACACAAAAGGAAAAAGCGATTGGGAGGGAGGAGGAAAAATGAAGATTCAGATACTAGGTCTTAAGGCTCATCTAATAGGTTTTTCGTTTGCCCTAGTACTTTCCCTGGGAAAACCTGCTGTTTACCTTTGAATTGAAACAAATGTCTATCTGCAGAATACCCAATTGACGTTTGATTTGATTCAGTGGTATACAGCTGGTTTCCCCAGGAGAAAGCAGTGGGACCAGCAGGAATGTGGGCGATCTTTCCATGACAAAGTTCTTTAAATTATTGTGTGTTTTTTTCTTTCAACAGGGAGAGAGGGGTAAAGCAATAGGGCCAGGGTGATCTCTCCCCTTGCCTTGATGTTGTCTCCTGACAGCTACGGGGAGCAGCCTCCCAGAGTCCCCTGGCAGATGTCAGAGGCCAGAGTGTTTTTCCCTTCAGCTCTGAAGTCTCAGGGCAATGAGCAATTGGAGTTCCGTGTACTTTCTGATAGGAAACTTAGAGCAACTCTAAATTGTACATTTATCAGGACAAAGGCTCAAGTACAACTCATCCATGAGTCCCTTTGGAGAGGCAGGGCAGCTGGCTCTGGAATCAACTGGATCCCTTTTCTGCCAGTGCATAATGGGTGGGAACAGCTTTGAGCTGTGCACGGTCACCAGAAAGGCCTCACACACATGCATGCTGGGTCTGGGCAAGTCTTGGTCACATCTGCCCTCAGGGTGGGAAATGGGGGCTCAGCGAACCCTCTTCCTCCCATGCCATTGGCAGCATGTGACCTACTTTAAAGACCTCTATGTGAAAAAAGGATCTTCTTTCTTAAGGGCTCCCCGTCTCAGTCTGCTTTAAAGAGAAAGAACTGTAAGAAGGGAGTTAGCCATCAAAAGTCAGCAGCAACACTGCAGACTCAACAGGCACACTGATCACTTGGCCAAAGTCTTCTTCCCCCCTATGTATGTCTATTTACATGACAGCAATTACCTCTGAATTTGCATACATGTAAAGTAGCACATAGTTAAAGCTATGGTTTTCCCAGTAGTGATGTATGGAAGTGAGAGCTGGACCATAAAGAAGGCTGATCGCCGAAGAATTGATGCTTTTGAATTATGGTGCTGGAGGAGACTCTTGAGAGTCCCATGAACTGCAAGAAGATCCAGCCTATCCATTCTTAAGGAAATCAGCCCTGAGTGCTCACTGGAAGGACAGATCCTGAAGCTGAGGCTCCAATACTTTGGCCACCTCATGAGAAGAGAAGACTTCCTGGAAAAGACCCTGATGTTGGGAAAATGGAGGGCACAAGGAGAAGGGGACGACAGAGGACGAGATGGTTGGATAGTGTTCTCGAAGCTACCAGCATGAGTTTGACTAAACTGCGGGAGGCAGTGGAAGACAGGAGTGCCTGGCGTGCTCTGGTCCATGGGGTCATGAAGAGCCGGACACAACTAAATAACTAAACAACTAAACAACAACAACAACAAAGTAGCACGTGCAATTTTCATGCAAATCTGTGCTGGTGCATAAGTGACCACATAGCAATGGAGTTTATTCCCAGATAAAATGAATTGCCCCGAGTCTCTGGGCAAAGGACCCTGTGCTGTGGCTGCTCTCCATGACAACACTGTCCCTGGGAGGGGAAGCACTGGAATGGATAGGAGTTGCATTGTGACCTATTCCTGCGTGGCCCCAGGGCATCTCATGTTAGCTAAAAAACAATGTAGTGGGTCCCATACCATCAGTCAGCTAGCTCAGCTGTTAAAACATGAGACTCTTAATCTCAGGGTTGTGAGTTCGAATCCCGCATTGGGCAGGGGGTTGGACTAGATGACCCTTGCAGTACCTCCCAACTCTTATGATTCTATGAGAGAAGTGTGCCTGAGGTTCTGGAGGGCTCCTGTCTGCCCATATAGACCAGGGGTAGCCAACACAATACCTGCAAGTTGTTGTCAGACTCCAGCTCCCATCAGCCTCAGCTAGCAGGGCCAAAGGCCCAAGGATGATGGGAGTTGTAGTCTGACAATTTCCGAAGGACACCGCATTGGCTACTTCCTGATGGGCTGGATGGATTAGGGGCCTGAGAGGAACCCCTTGTTTCACATGGTACCTAGTGACCTTTTCAGCAGAGTGAGAGACAGGATCATGATGTGTGCAAACTTGTCTGGGGTAAAGAACAGGGCAGGGACAAAGAATCTTGAGATTAAGTGGAAGCGGAACTGGAAGAAAGGAAAAACCTCCAGCAGGCTTAAGAGGAGAGACTGAAAGATCAAATTCAGACAGCGGCAGATAAGCCACCAGCCTATTAGTGGCGATAAATCGCTGAGTCAGGTTTAGCTGCAACGCTTACTCAACTTTTACAGCTCGCTCCTTCCCGCAAACTGCAGGGTGTGTGCGACAGCAAGCGAATCCTCTGGCGAGAAGTTATGTCGCAACGTTTATGGCAAAATCCAGTAAGGGCAATGTTGCTGCTTGTTCCAGGTCCTCCTCCCCCTTCCCCACCCCACACTTTCTGGCTTGGTTGCAAACTCACAAAGGAAATTTCCAGATGAGACTTTTCTGGGCCTGCAAAGATGGAGAAAGGGCAGTTTTTGGCTTGCCCTAGCGCTGGACGTTTGCAAGGAAGTGGTTGGTTCTAACTAGGCTCCTTGGACACCTGAAAGTACCTAGTGTGGCACATGAGAACATGTTTTTGCAGTAGGATGGCACATGCTTAAGTTTGCGCAGTGGCAGCAGGGCAGCAGGGGGAGAGAAGTCAGTGCTCTGTTAAAAAACACAAGAACATGATGCTGCCACCTCACAAACCCACATTCAGCAGCATTTAGTGCCAGTGGTGAAATAATTCAGCAGCAATGCTGCTTGAATACAGATTTCCACCGGCTGAGCCATTCACTTACCATAGGTGCATGCATACACATCCCCTCCAACATTCCTCTGATGAAAATAGAGACATCCCATTCCATAATGATAATTTTACGATTAATACCCCACACATCTTACTGGGTTGCCCCAGCCACTCAGGGCAGCTTCCAACATACATGTATATAAAACATAATAAAACATTGAATATTTTTTTAAATTAATTTTTTATTTATTTTATTTTATTTTACTTTTTTTACTATCCCTACAGGATTGCCTTCAGATGGCTTGGGGGTGTCCCATAACTCCATACCCTCCAACATTTCTCCAGTGAAAATAGGAACAGAAAAGTGGGACATTCCGGGATCAAATCAGAAACCGGGACGGCTTCTCTGAATCGGGGACGTCCCTGGAAAATAGGGACACTTGGAGGTTCTGTATACAGGACAGGAATAGTGAACCTCTTGCCCTCTAGATGTTGTTGGACTTCAGCTCCCATCAGCCTCAGACAGCATGGCCAATAGCGAGGGATGATGGGAGTTGTAGTCCATGACATCCAGGGGGTACCATGTTGGCTACCCTCGCTGAATCAGAATTCCGGGAATGAAGGCTAGTAGGTACCATTCTTCTCATCACTTGTTGGGCTTGTGTAAGGTGGACCAACCTGAAGATGGATCAAGGAAACCAGGCCTATCGCGATGGGTTAGGTAAAGGGTAAAGGGGACCCCTGTCCACTAGGTCCAGTCGTGACCGACTCTTGGGTTGTGGCGCTCATCTTGCTTTATTGGCCGAGGGAGCCAGCATACAGCTTCCGGGCCATGTGGCCAGCATGACTAAGCCGCTTATGGCGAACCAGAGCAGTGCAAGGAAACGCCGTTTACCTTCCCGCCGGAGCGGTCCCTATTTATCTACTTGCACTTTGATGTGCTTTCGAACTGCTAGGTTGGCAGGAGCAGGGACCGAGCAACGGGAGCTCACCCCGTCGCGGGGATTCGAACCGCCGACCTTCTGATCGGCAAGTCCTAGGCTCTGTGGTTTAACCCACAGCGCCACCTGCGTCCCTCGCGATGGGTTACCTCTTGGTAAATGCCACACCCAGGGTGGTTCGCAGTGATGCAGCAGAAGCCAAATGCTGGGAGTCTGATGGCAAGGAGCATGATTTTTATGGCACAAGCTGGCTAAAGTCATGATGCGCAAATAAATAAATAGGACTTCCCTTGCTCAGGGCTGCTGCCCAAACCAGGGAAGGTGGCCGTCGATAGACCAGCGGCATGGGGCAGAAGGCACCTTCTCCCTGGCTGTGCCACGCATCTGCGCCCCCTCCTGACACCCATTTTGCTGGGTGCCCTTCTTGGCCCTCGCGCTCTGTGTCCAGCTGCCACCACCATGCGCTCTGGCTCCCCTCAGGCAGGCAAGCTCGGGATAGGGGGAGCAACCCACAGACAATTTCCAAGTTGCCTCTCTCTCCTCCTGCTCTCTGTCCTCCCCATGTGCCCTCTCTGTTAAAGTGGGGTGCTCCCCACTATACGCAATTTCACTTATGCATGTTGGGGCCCGGAATATAACCCGTGTAAGTTGGTGGGGATCACCTGTACTGGATGTTAGTTTCTGTTTGCCACTGAGCAGCTGCTTAGAGTCACAGGACTCTGTTTACATTCCAGAGACAGTCCAGGCTTTTGGACGTCTCACGGGAGACGGGAGATGGGATGTGACGTTAGTGGTTTCCTGTTTCCTTTGTTCCTTTGTTCAGTTGCTCTCTGCTTTCATAGAGAGAGGATGTATATTTCTTAGCTGTCTGCGTAGTAAGAAATAAAGCATAGTGATGTAGCCATAAATCTCATCACTTCCCTGTGCTGGATTCTCTGCTGAATGGGAGAACGTCCTGGGGCCTTATCAAAGGCTCAGGTCGTTAATTATTTGTCAGGAGGGCGATTCCCGAAGGACTCGGAGGAAGATGAGCCATATTGGCTTGGCCGAGCGGAGATCCCAACACTGAACACAGTCTGCTAGCCGAAATCAGTACCCCACTTAACTCATATAAACTAATGTTACTCATTCAAATAAATATACTTTTAATCAACTTAAGAACGTAAGAAACCAAGAGGAACCCTGTAAGCCAATGGCCCATCTACCTGTAGTCCAGCATCCTGTTTTCAAACTAGCCAACCAGGTGCCCACTGGAAGCCTGCAGGAGGGCCCTGAAACCAACAACACCCCCCCCACTTCTGATTCCCCGCAACTGGGTATGCAGAAGCACATTGAGAACCAAGCAGTTGTGGCTTAAGAACCTCATCTTCCGCTTGTGTGAAATTTCCCTGCTTTGTCCCAAAATGAGGTCCTGAGTTGTAAGCTGAGTGCCTGGCAGAAAGGTCATGCCACCAGTGGCGAAATAATTTGAGGGGCCACCATTTTGGTTTCAGTTTTTTCTTCTTCTGTTTTTAATGAGCCCTGGAGAAAATATCCATATTTTTTCACAGGAATCAGGGTAAAAATCCTCTTTGAGGTAAAAGGCAGAGAGTACTTTACACAGTCTGTTTTAAACAGGAGAGGAAGCACTGAGGATGGGAGAAGAAAATACTTAGGAAGCCCCAGGTCACCTCAGTTATTTGACAAACGCAGGAAATAAATTCCCTCTCATCTTATGGTTAGGAAGGGCTCATCTAGAGTCTGTAGGCATGGGTCCAAGCAGGGTTTTGTTTTGTTTTTGTCCCATTGTGAATCACAATAAAAGTCAACTGGGTTTGCTGTGGATTGGCGTTTTCTCAGATGAAGCAGTAAACAGCCAGGTTTCCCCGAGGAAAGCAGTGGGGGGGGACCTACCCTGCTCTTGACACATACTGGAAAGCATGGACCTGCGCCTACAAATTGTGGCACAATTGGAAGTCTCTAACACAAAGAGGTAGCAGGTGGTCTCACTCTGTTAACAACAGTCACAAACTTTGACCCCAACTCAGCAAGGAAGATTCATTCTTCACCTCCTCCTCTCTCTTTTCCTCAGAGCAGATATGAAAACCTGTTTTATCCTCCTTTCAGTTGACAGGACGCACCTGATGGAAATGAGGACAGTATAATCCCATCTGGAGCTACCACCGGGAACCGGGCCTGGATCTGGCCCTATATACCATGGAAGACTTCCTTACCTCGAGGATATTTTTTTTAAAAAAATGTTTTTTGACAATCTGTGCAATGAAATATCTCTTCAGATGGAAGCCTGAAACATTTCAGAGACCCATTTTTGCCCAGGAGGGATCTACAACGTTCTTCCTCGGAGGAAGAACAGTATACTATATAAATTCTTTAACCAAGGTAATGCCATGCATAACGTTTTTCTAGATGCAGTTCGACCCAGTCATTGGCTCCCTTCTTTTTATTACCCCTGTTTTGTGGAAGGTGCAATTGCAGGACGTCAGTGGGGTATAAAAACTTGGCCTGACTCAGAGTTCATTTCACCCTTATGGTGACTCCCCAGACGCACTGCAAAGTCGAATTCCCCAGCCAGCTGTCCCGAGTCAACGAGGTCAAATTATTTCTTCTTCCCACATCCACAAAATCCATTTACCAAAGGGGATTCGTTGCCCTGCTATAAATATTTGTTCTTGCTGCTTCAAAAATTCCAGGACGGTCCCTCTGCTCCGATATTAAACTAACAGTGCTTCTTTTGTCTGCGAGGCATTAATATTAGGCTGTTGGGTTTCGATCTCCCAGCTGGACAAATTTTCAGGAAGGCCTAAATTGCCACTGTTCCTCATTGTCAGGGGGAGAGGCTAGTAGACGCCCGCAAATGTGGCGAAGACTCTAGTTCTGGGTCTGTGTAAGAAAAGTTTTTAAATTCGTCTTGGTTAATCATAGAAAGAATTCCTTCTTCAATGGGAGTTAATATTGGCTCCTCTTTTAAAAATTCGGGATCGAAGTTGCTCACATCTTCTTTCGATTTCTGTCATATGCAAATACAAACAAACACCCACCTATTAACAAGGGCGACATTCACATTGGTTTCTCAGTATTTTGAGGATTTTGAAAAATTGGCATTGTAATTTTCTGAAAATTGGGCAGGATCCTGAGTAAGTTTGTTACATCACACTAAGTAATTGCACCACACAGAAATCAGTGTGAAAAGCTAGTTAACACAGTGATTTCTATAGGACCTAAGCGTGAGTAATTTAAGCTTGGGTCCAATCTGTTAGGCTTATATATTAGAAATTAGCTATACTCAGCTTTTCTGTTAAAAGCACCCCAAAAGTGGATTACAGAAATGGCTGCATACACACCAGACATTTAAAGCACATTTGAAACACGTCCCTCCCAAAGGATCTTGGGAACTGTAGTTTTTTTAAAGTGTTGGGAATACTAGCTCTATTATAGGTAAACAACAGTTCCTAAATTTTTGGCGTGTGTTTTAAATGTATAGTGTGTACCCAACCCAAAAAACCAAAAACCATCTAGTCCAAAATATTACATGAAAGGCTTATCCCAGGAAAACAACATACCAGCCTGGTTTGCACATAATGCTAAACCATAGTTTTCTTAACAAGTTGGCCCACAGACTATCAAACAATTCTTATTTCTCCAATGTTTGTTTTGTCACTTGGTAATGGGATGGGATGACCAAGCAAACCATGGTTAACTGAGAGTGCTGGATTCACACGTAACACCCAAGTTTTGTAAACAAACGCTAGTTTCAGATTGTAGTGCTGGCAGCAAATAAAGCATTGTTAAGTTCCCGAGCAGGGTTCACCAATAACTTTGAGCCACCATTTAATAACCCACAGTTATTCAACTTCGGGCCCTCGTATTTACAGGACCGCCTTTCCTGGTATGCCCCGCAGAGGAACTTAAGGTCCATGAATAACCATAGTTTAGAGATCCTGGGCCCTAAGGAAGTCAGACTATCCTCCACCAGGGCCAGGGCCTTTTCAGTGATGGCTCCGACCTGGTGGAATGCTTTGTCCCATGAGACAGGGCCCTTCAGGATTTAACCTCCTTCCGTCGGGCCTGTAAGACAGAGCTATTCCGCCTGGCCTTAAATTTGAATTCAGCCTGATCTTTTATTTCCCTTCCCTTCCCCCCCCTCCCCTTTTATGAAGATCACCCGCTCTGAGACCCCACAGCTAATTCTCCCCCGGCCTCCTCGCTGGCCCAAGTAGGACCAATTCAGCCAGCTAGCCCTGATGATTACCTAATGCTTATTTCCCCTAAATTGATTTCTGAATTTCGAATTTTATTGTTATTCATGTTTTTATACTGCATTTTATGCTGCTTTTACAATTAAGTGTTTTCAATTTGTTGTTAGCCGCCCTGAGCCTGGTTTTTGAACCGGGAAGGGCGGGGTATAAATAAAAATGTATTATTATTATAGTTCAGTAAACTGTGGTTTGGTGTTATGAGCAAACCAGGTCATTGATGCGAATGCGGTTACGCTTTGCATGCAGAAGGTACCAGGTTCAATCTGTAGCTGCCAGGGATTGAATTGGGGGAACTTTTTCATGTAACCCATGGTATCTACTTCTGAGTACATGCAAAATTCTAAACACTCACAATTCGAGGACGGTAAGGCGGCTCTATCTGACGCTGGTTCAGCAGATCCCAATCTAATTCCTTAAAATATGGGTGCAGTAGGATAGCATTCTCTCCACCCAGGGCAATGCTGCCAAGGCGCATTTTGGGGTTCTTGGTCATGAACTGCAAAAAGAAGAGGAAAGGATTAGCAGGGAAGAAAGTGATGCTCTTAGCCATCCACTATCAGGTCCTATTAGTTAGAGACATGGGAAGCTGCCGTATCCTTGGTCCATGTAACTCAGAACTGTCTGCTCTGACTGGCAGTGAGCCTCCAGAAATTCTGACAGGGGTCTTTCCCTTCCTTATCTGGAGATGCTGGGGGAAGCCCTATTGACATCAATGAGTGGCAGGGCCTTCTTGGTGGTGGTTCCCCATTTGTGGAATGCCCTGTCTGATGAAGTGCACCTGTTCTCCCCCCTCACATTTAGAGTTCAGGAGGAATTAAAAACCATTGCCAAGACATTTGATGACCAATAGATACCGTTTCTGAACCAAATTAAATACTTCTGTTATTAGAATCATAGGAGTGTAGAGTGGGAAGGGACACCAAGGGTCATCTAGTCCAACCCTCTGCTCGTAATCACTTTAAGCCAGTGGGTGCGGAGCCTTTTTCAGCTGGAGACCTGCTTTTCCTTCTAGGCTCAATGGCCACTCCCGTGCAAGTTGTGGGCAGGGCAAGATGGAAAAGTTGGCAGAGCAATGAATGCTAATTTTGTACAGAAAGCTAGTTTCCACACAGGCTTCTCTCTGCCCTCCACCCAGGCAAGGAAGAGACCTTACCAGAGTTCATTTACACATTCCAGCCAGGCAAAAACAGCGAAGGAGGATGCAAACCAGGTTGTATGGCCTAGGGAGAAGGGGGTGTGGCCTGAGAAGCATCCTGAGGGCCAGATAGGGAGGTGTGGAGGGCCACATTTCACCCCTGAGCCTGAGCTTCTGCAAACCCGCCATAAAAATTCTGGATACTGTAGGTTTGCATGCTGGGTCTGACGCTGGTTTAATGACGTTGGTGAAAAGTTTCATGGTGCCTTGTAAAAAAATTCGCAAAAGTATGTTTGTGGGAAGCTAGCTTCCCTTGCTGCCCTCAGCAAAGCGCTGTAAATTCCTTGTTACAAAAGCAGGAGAAGGAGAAAGGAGGAGAGATGAGCCAGAATCTGCCATCTAATTGCCCTTGTAAAATAAAGAAGAAGGAGAAATATCTGGGAGAGATAGTCATTAAATGAATGGCCGGAAAGAATGAGGGATGAATTAGATCAGAAGGGAAGAGAAAGGCAGGAGAAGGGGAGAGAGGTTCGCTCCAACATCCATTGGCCTTTAAACAAAGAGAGAATAGTTATTTAAACAGAGCAATTACTCTAATTAAGGCTTCCTTCCATGTTGCCCCAGGACTGGAGGCTGAAGGTCCTGTAAGCAATTTCATCTGATTATTATGTAAGAAAAGTGGGTGGAGAGAAGCAGTGAAAATTGCTGCTCATTATGTGCTTTGCTTGTGGTTGGAAAATAAGACAGATAAACTGGAGCAGACTGGAGTCAGACCTGGGGTTCCATTTCTGCTGGGAAATGTACCAGGTGCCCGAAGACAAGTTGCCATCTCTCGGCCTAGACCACCTTGCTCTCTAAAATCCAAAAGAGCTCCCCAAAATTCAGGACGTGAACTTTGCAGCAGCAACAGCTCACACCAGAAATTCCCATCTGCAGCCCAGAGCGTAAACTTTGCCCCTTGTGAGTCAGTGAGAACTCTTTTTGACACTGTAAACCACAGACTGATTTGATCTCCTTCCTGGTACCTTTTCCTGTTGAGAAATACCTAATCACACTCCCCTTAGTGAAATCTGCTCTGCAGAACTCTGTTCTGCCAAGCAGATATCCCTTACTAGTTTTGAAAGGTTGCTGTTTTACCACTCGACTTAAGTAAAGGTAAAGGGACCCCTGACCATTAGGGTCAGTCGTGGCCGACTCTGGGGTTATGGCGCTCATCTCGCTTTATTGGCCAAGGGATCCAGCGTACAGCTTCCGGGTCATGTGGCCAGCATGACTAAGCCGCTTCTGGTGAACCAGAGCAGCGCACAGAAACGTTGTTTACCTTCCCACAGGAGTGGTACCTATTTATCTACTTGCACTTTGACGTGCTTTCAAACTGCTAGGTTGGCAGGAGCTGGGACTGAACAACGGGAGCTCACCCCGTTGCGGGGATTCGAACCGCTGACCTTCTGATCAGCAAGTCCTAGGCTCTGGGGTTTAACCCACAGCACCACCTGCATCCCCGACAGCGCTACCCGCGTCCACACTCGACTTAGGAACAGCTTACCGTATTTTTCGCCCTATAGGACGCACCGTCCCATAAGGCGCACCTAGGTTTTTTTTTGGGGGGGGGGAAATAAAGGGGGAAAATTTATTTCCCCCCCCAGCCCCCAGAACAGGCAACTCTCCACAAGCCGTGGGAGCCCGGCGCCTGGCTCCCGCGCCTTGCGGAGAGCTGCACGAAGTCTGGGCGCGCTGAGCTCAGGACGCCCAGGCTTCAGCATGCAGGCAACTCTCTGCAAGCCGCGAGAGCCCGGCGCGGGCTCCCGCGGCTTGCAGAGATCTGCGCGAAGCCTGGAGAGTGAGAGGGGTCGGTGCGCACCGACTCCTCTCGCTCTCCAGGCTTCAGCGAAAGCCTGCATTCACTCCATAGGACGCACACACATTTCCCCTCCATTTTTGGAGGGGGAAAAGTGCGTCCTATAGGGCGAAAAATACGGTAAATAAGCTAAACAGATGGTTAACAGCCCAATTCTGCACCGGCCTACTGAGATGTAATTCCTCCTAAATTTAAATGTGAATTTCTCCCAACTAAATTTGGCTTATACCCTCAGAAGGGACAACCTTGCTTGAAAACCTCATGCAATTTCCCCGCAGTTAAAAAAAGTTTAAAGACTTAGAGGTCACATTTTTGAGGCGCCTAAGTACACAAAAGCTCTCAGATTTATTTGTCTGCAATCTGACAGGGTTCACACACTCTGGAGGGGCCAGCCTGCAAATTCTACCCACTTTTGTCAAAAAGGAAAGAAGTTATATCTATCTAGAATTCCCAAGAGTGAAGTGGGGATGGCAAATGACATTTGGACCCCCAAACCAAACTGGTCAGCCACTAAATGAATACGAGGTGAACCAGGCTGTTTTTACAAAGCCCTGAACTGAGGACCAAACCAAATCTTGTGGTCAGTGCACACCCATCCCTTGTCTCTCATGACCCTGTCCTGAAGTTGATTTGGATCAACCAGGGAGCGCAGTCTGCTGTCCCTGGGAATCCATTCCTGTCCTGGGAGCTGGAATGAGACAGGACAAATCCCAGGTGGGCAATGAATGCACAGGAAGAACGCCAGCCTTTAAATGTCACAACGGTGCCTAAGGATGAGGCTGTAAAAGGCAGGTCCCTTCCACTGTTCTTACACATATAGGGGCCCGAAGCCCGGCTCTTTTAACAGAGGAGCAACGCAGCGAAGCAAACTGCAGAAGAGATGTAATGCCGAACTCTTTAAATTCTGTGGACTCATGAATGCACATTTGGTGGGAATTTGAAATTGCAGAAACACATGTGTGTATCTAACAATTACAAAATGCAAGCTGGACAGTGTTTTAAATAATATTCAGTAAACACACAAGATGTAACCGGATGCAGAAAGCAAATTAAAGGTAAAGGTACCCCTGCCCGTACGGGCCAGTCTTGACAGACTCTAGGGTTGTGCGCCCATCTCACTCAAGAGGCCGGGGGCCAGCGCTGTCCGGAGACACTTCCAGGTCACGTGGCCAGCGTGACATCGCTGCTCTGGCGAGCCGCACACGGAAACGCTGTTTATCTTCCCGCTAGTAAGCGGTCCCTATTTATCTACTTGCACCCGGGAGTGCTTTCGAACTGCTAGGTTGGCAGGCGCTGGGACCGAACAACGGGAGCGCACCCCGCCGCGGGGATTTGAACCGCCGACCTTTCGATCGGCAAGCCCTAGGCGCTGAGGCTTTTACCCACAGCGCCACCCGCGTCCCCTTAGAAAGCAAATTAGAATGGACTAATTTTGTGTCCAATGATTTGCGTTTTAATCTTGTCTTAGACTCTGTGAAAGGATTCTGTGGAACTGTAACAACCTTTTGCGTGGATTGTTGGACTCTATGAACAGCCAGGTGGAATAGACACTTACACATACATGGACTTTACGCATAAACTGATTAGAGAATGAACTGATCCACTGGGTCTTCTACAGTGGTACCTCTGGTTGTGAACGGGATCCGTTCCGGAGGCCCGTTCGCAACCTGAAAAGAACGCAACTGGCATCTGCGTGTCTGCCATGCACGGGTTGCAATTTGCCGCTTCTGCACATGCGCATGACGTCATTTTGTGTGTCTGCGCATGCGCGAGTGACGAAACCTGGAAGTAACCCTTTCTGGTTACTTTGCTGCAGGACGCAACCTGAAAACGTGCAACCTGAAGCAAACGTAACATGAGGTATGATTGTACTTTTTTTGTTGAACTTTATGAGCTACTTCTGTTAAAATCTACAATTTAATACAATGAATAGTATACTTTATTTATTCAAACGTACAGCCGGTTATGTCTTGTGTGTTTATTGAATATGTTTCACGTAACTAGAGGTTGGTTGTTGTTTTGCGGTTGTTTTTGGACAGTGTTTTAAAGCCAAGGCAATTTTTTTGAAGGCGGGAAAACCCAAGCCCAAATATGTTGGGTATCCCCAAAACAATGTTGGAAATCAAAATAGTGTGACAGCGGCTACTCTTTGGAACTCCCTGCTGTTGCACATCAGACAAGCACTGCCTTTATTTGTCTTTCTGGTGCCTGTTGAAGACCTTCCGGCTTCAACAAGCCCTCTAAGGGGAGATTTCTTTTATTCCAGCCAGTCACCTGTGTTGGATTTCAATTGGTTTCTATATATTATTATGATTATTATTTCATTATTTATACCCCCCCCGCCCCCGCCACCGCCCATCTGGCTGGGTTACAATTGGCTTTTATACATGCAGCTTTTTAAATACAGTTTTGCATTTTTTAAAATTGTATAGTGAAATTGTTTTGTGATGCTTCATGGGAACCAATTCCGAAGTTTAATCGGTTAATTGATTAATCAGGAAAG